TCAACATGGCATTTTTACAACAATAAGTACCTGCCTCACAGGGTTGTTGTAAAGACTAAATGAGGTAATGCACACAAAGCACTTAACACCTGATCTGGTTATCACAGAGCCTAAGGCTTAGCTTAGCACCTGAAGTATTCCTAGTGCTCAGTAAGTTAGATATATTTTATTCTTCACATCCATTATGCCTGCTCACTGCTACCTCTTTATCCATGTCATGGTCCTACCTAAATGTCCTCCCCTTCAATGGTGCTAGACTCACTTTTTTTTGTGTGTGTGTGCGTGGGGGGGGGCAGTACTGATAATTGAACCAAGGAGTTACATACTCATCTCTCACCCCCCCCTTTGTGTATGTGTGTATGTGTGTGTGTGTGTGTGTGTGTGTGTGTGTGTGTGTGTTTTGCTGGAGATTAAACCCAGGGCTTTGTGCATGTGAAGCAAGCACTCTACTGAGCTATATCCCCAGTCCCCCTTTTTTTATTTTGAGACAGAGTCTCACTAGGTCCTGGAGGTTGGCCTCAAACTTGTGATCTTCAACCTCCTGAATAACCAGGATTACAGGTGTATGACCACACCCAGGAAGGATTAGCTTTTTCCCACAGTATTCTATTCAAGAACAGCCTTCTCCAGGAAATCTTCCCTGAAAATTGCAGGCTGGATTCTCTGTGTGAGCAGTCTGGGAAAAGCCTGTCATCACTTTTCACTGTATGGTTATCAGTTTTAACTGTGCACCCAAAAACAAGCAGCTTCAAGGGGTCTGATTTAGCCTTTGTTAGCTCAAAGATGAGTGACATATTAGCCAGAAAGCCAGTTACTAAGTTTATAAATACCCAAAGAGCTAACCCTTGTTGAACACTTACGAGGTAGCTCCCAGGCAGTGTATTCAAAGCCCTCATGGCACTAAGGGAAAGGTTCTACTATTATCTTTATTCTACCCATAGGAAACCCAAGAGATTAGACAGCATGCCAAGATCAGGATCTGACACAAGCATATGGATACAGAGCTCTCAACATTCTCGAAACACAGTTCTAATCAGAGGGTATCAGGAGGACATAAACTAAGCAAGAGAAAAGACACTCCCAGTTAGAGGCATCAACATGGACACACTCATCCATTCGGTACTGGAGAGGTTCTATAGAAGACTGCATTAAGCTTCTCTGGTCAGGGCTCCCAGGTAGTGTTACAGACACACTATCCACCCCAATTTCCACAAACATCATCTGAACCCTCTCCTAGAAACACACATCTTTCTTCTGAGGCTACAAAATTAAGTTTGAGCTTTCTGACTACAAACACATTCCAATCATGCCTTCCTGGGGTTATAGCTGGGTCAGTTTGGTTGAATTTAAAGTTTTCTCTGAAATTCTCTAAAGTACATTTGCAAAATGTCTTTTGGCCTTGTATCTTTCTGTAGATAGTTGATTTGTATTGTTTTGATTTTATTTTCAGATGATCATTCATTCATTTAGCAAATACCTAATCATTTCCAGAACAATGTGTTCTAGGCCCTAGAGATAAACGCAGTGAACAAGATAGGCAAGATCCCTGAAACCTGGCAGAACTTTTTCAGTGTCTCCCCTTCTATGCACTTGGGATATTTTCTAGCAACGGCTTATTTGACTTTCTTGCCCAGGCTGTACCTTTCAGCTCTGGATTCTGATCCTACAGTGAAGTGACTGGCCCATACTGTAAGTACTTCATTAATGGGAGCTAACTAAATTCACTGGTTCTCCTCTTTCTATCCAGAGTGGGACCAGATTATATCTGAAGTCCCTTAGAAAAAAAGGTACAAAGTCTAAATTAAGATAAACAGAACACAAATGGCAAATGCAACCTGTATCAAAAAAGAAGATAAGACATGATATATCAGCTAGTAAGAACCACCTTGAGAAGTGATGAAGGGCTCCAACACCTGGAGAAAGTATGGCTTTAGAAACATGTTGAGAAGACAGGAAAATGAAAGATTAACCTGCAGAAAAGTCTGAGATGGGGGTCAGCAGGTGGACACAGAGGTGGGGAGCAAGATGGTTCTCTATGTAGAAGTCACATACAGGATATGTGGGAAAGGAGCATATATGGGGAGGTGGGGGAAGTAGTATGAAGCTAAGCCTCAAAAACAGTCCCCAGGCAGATGTAGGAAATAGAGCAGCAAAAACAAGTGATAAGGCACAGTCACACAAATTTAAGAAAATGACCACAACCTTTTTGGAAAAGGCCGACTAAGAGCCAGGCTGGTTCATGAAAAAAAGAATGGCTCATCACGCCAATATTAACAGTCAAAGGAAATGAGTAAGCAACGGCCATTGCATCTATCAATTAAGGGACCCTCAAGAGGATAGTTTCAACAGAAACAAAGACGCATTTGAAGCTCAACTCCTAACACTTCAGGTTCTAAGAGAAAAATGGCAGCCTGCTTTTCTGTAACTCCAAAACAAAGCAATTTCTTAATCAAACTAACATTCTTTGTCCATGCAGAAAGATCATCATCTTCCACCAAAGACAAATTCACAGGAGAGAAAGAGAGAGAGTGGACACTCAATTCATGTGATACCTCACCCTGGTAGCTCTGATTCAACTATTTTCCTAGAGGTTTAGAAGATTCACTGGGCATACAGTGCCTGGTATATTAGGCTGAAGATTTTCAAAAAAATAAACATTTAGTAAAAAATTTTGCAGAATCATATGCAACTTATTTATTGTTTTAAGGATGCTTAAAGTATGCTGTCTTCCAAAAATCCAGAGATAATTTTAGATTGAAAAATCTAGGCTTGCCAAGGGAATCTGAGAACTTTTCTATCTTGGTCTCCAATCTAACCTACGTATTCATGTGCAAAAATAGAGGAAGATTAGAATCTCAAATGCCAGACTGAAAAGTTGCCACAACAAACCTGAACTCTTCATATGGAGTTTGTTATCTTGTCAGTAAGAAAGTAAATGAAACAGCAATAAAATAAACTTTCACCTTTAAAATGTGCATTTTTAAAAAATTATTTATCTAATGAGAGGCTACTATCCAGAATAAGTAATGATTATTTACAACTCAAGAACAAAACAACAAATAATTCAATTGAGAAATGGACAAAGGACTTTAAACAGACTTAAAATGTACATTTTAGGGGTTGGGATTGTGGCTCAGTGGTACAGTGCTCACCTAGCATGCATGAGGCACTGGGTCTGATCCTCAGCACCACATAAAAGTAAAATAAAGATATTGTATCCACCTAAAACTTAAGAATAAATATATTTTTTTAAAAATATTCATTTAAAAAAATCTCAAACATGAAATACTCATTGTATTGTAAAGGAAAATTATTTAAAAAAAAAACACTGAAAATAAAAAATCGTGGCATTTTTTAAGGCACATGAAAATATCTGATCATACACAAAAATCTGTAAGTAGACCTTTATAAATACATACTTAGAACTTTAAACCTAAAATATAAGAAGAAAAAACAGTTACAGCTTATTCAATAAAACTGCAACAATTGACTAGCTATTCAGAAACTATTTTATATCTTAAACCAAAAATAAGTTCTAAGAAGATTAAATAACTAAAAGTAAATAAAACGATGAGAAGCAAAGGTGGATGGAATTTTTTTGAAACACTGGAATAGGGAAGAATTTTCCAAATATATGAAAGAAGAAAAAATGCATAGTATTTATTTTTTAATGAATGTTACCTTTACACCCCAGTTGTGAATTTATCCCAAGACAATAATCAGACAAATCCTTTTGGCAAAATCATTTTATGGCAAAATGGAAATAATCTAAATATTCATCAGGCCAGGCCCTGCGGTGCATGCCTGTAATCCCAGCAAGTTCCAGGCCACTTTAGCCACTTAGCAAGCCCTAAGCAACAAGGAGAAACCCCTGTCTCAAAAAAAGGGGATGGGGTGGGGGTTGGGGCTGGGATGAAACACAGTGGTAGAGCTTCCCAGGGTTCAATTCCCTGTGCCAAAAATAAATAAATGTTCATCGGTAGGGTTTGGTTAAATTATGGCATATAATGGTGTACTACGAAGCTCATAAAAAAATGACATCATATATCTGTATTTACTGATATCACTAAAATGATAGCTGTGGTTGTCACTGAATGATAGGTTGGTGGATGTCTGTCATTTCCTCCCTTGACACTTTTTGTAATGTCTTGAGTGTTTTACAAAGGCGAGAAGAATAAATTCCTCTTATAATGGGAATGAGGAGCAGAAACAAGCTACTTTCAAATTTGGGCTCTCCAAGCCCAGTGATTCTCTGACAAATTTTGTAACAAGTATAAACAAAATTCTTATCATGCCAACCAGCCACGCTTCTTTCCTCGCACCGCGCGAAGCAGGAAGACACACCCCTGACCCTGCGCTCCCCACGGGCGTGGGTCCTTCATCTTCAACCCCGGCCCTCCCGGGTCCCCGCGGACCCTCCCCTGGCCCCACTGCGCCAACAGGCTCAACAGGGCCGGAAAATCACGTTCCTCAGCGGCCCGGCACGACTGGGAAGGTGCGCACCGCCGGTCAGGCAGCCGCGGGGCGGCGTGAGGACCGCGTCCCCCACCAGCCCCAGTGGACCCCGGCCGCCTGCTGCCCACAGGCCGCTGTCCTTTCGCGGACTGCTCCGCGAGCTTCCGGGAGCGAGTACCAGCGCCAGCCTGACCTCTCGGGCCCCGGCGTCCCGAGGGAATGCCCCCCTCCCTCGCCTGGCCAGCGCCGTTCCTCTCCTCCCGTCCCGCGTCCACCGGGTCTCGGCTGCGCCCCCAGTTCCAGGCACGCGCCAGGAGGCCCCTCCGGGCTTCCGTCCGCTCGGCCAGCGCCCGCAGAGCCCGGCGTCCTCCACAGCGGGCGGGCAAGGGGTGGGCGCCCAAGGGCCGGAGCCCTGCGGTCCCGAGCGGAGCCGCGCCCCGCGAGCTCGTCCCGTCACCAGTCCCGGCCACGTCCCACAACCCACCGCCCACCGTCCGACCCCGCCTGCCTGCGCCCGCCCGCGCCCGCTCGCGCCCGCTCCTCACCTGCGACGGGCTCCGACCCCCAGCACACCGCCCGGACCGGCTGTGTACACCGGAAGTGACGTTAGAGCCAGTCCCGCCCCCGCCCCAGGCGGACGCCGGAGTGTCTGCGGGGCCCGCGCGCCGGGAGCCGACCCTCCCCTAGCGCAAGCGGGGCGGGGGTGTCCCTGAGCGTCTTTTCTGCAGATCGAGGACGTCCCGATGGGACGGCTTGGGAAAGGGTTGAGGACTGGCAACCAGAGCCGTAGGATTGCTCTGATTCTCCACAATGGCTTGGCCCCGGTACGGGAGAGGACGGTTGCGTCCTTATGGATTTATTATTGAAATTGATGACTTAAGTATTGAGCTGTAGATGCCAGGCGCTGACAGTCACTAGTCACTGCCGGAATCGGATAATACTCTCAGCCTCATAGGTTCATTCTCTATTGGTAGAAACAGAATGCAGCTGTCACAGATCCCGGTGATACTATAGTGCCAATTGTGACAAGTGGTAGGAGGGGAAAGTGGAAGAGGAGAGGGAAAGAGTACCCTGACCTAGTGGAGGAGGGTGATCAGGGTATTCCCCCAGGAAAAGAGTACGAGCTGAAATCCTAAAGAGGAAAAGGAAAAAACAAAAATTAAAAACTGGGGAAGAAGAACAGGGCATTACAGCAGAAGAAACAGCAGGTGTTTTCAAACTGCTTTGTATTCAACAAACAAGGAACAGGATCAGGAGAAGTTAGGCCTTACCTGAGAACATTGCATACCTAATGAGTTTTAAGCAAGGGACGATTTGACCACCTTTATGACTTTAAAGAGATTACTCTGGCTGTAGTGTGGAGGACTGGGAAGGGGAGGCAAGAGTCGATGTATGGAAATGGGGGTGCAGCTTAGTACACCTGGCCTACCATGTATGAGGGCCTGAATTAAATCCCCAACATCACAAAAAAATAAGTGGATCAGATTTCTACAATCCTGTTCATAGAAGTTTTATAATAACCAAAAGACACAAGTAATAATGTTCAGCTAAGGACGAGTGGATAAACAAAACGTCAGATGTGTGTGTGTGTGTGTGTGTGTGTGTGTGTGCGTGTGTATAATAAAATATCATTTGGCCTTAAAAAGGAAGAAAATTCTGCCACATGCCAAATGGATGAATCTTGAAGACATTATACTAAATGACATAAGCCAGTCAGAACTCACAATTCTGAGTCCACTTATATGAGTACCTGGAGTAGCCAAAAGCATAGAGACAGAAAGTAGAGCCCAGCACTATGGCACAGGCCTGTAATCCCAGTTGCTCAGGAGGCTGAGGGAGGAGGATTGGGAGTTTGAAGCCAGTATCAGCAAAAGCCAGGTGATAAGCAACTCAGTAAGACTCTGTCTCTAAATAAAATACAAAATAGGTCTGAGGATGTGGCTCAATGGTAGAGTGCCCCTCAGTTCAATCTCCAGTACCAGAAAAAGTAGAATGGTAGTGAATAGGGTTGAGATAGGGATGGAGAGTTAGTGTTCACTGGGTACAGTTTCAGTTGCAGAAGATGAAAAAGTTCTGAGGATGGTGGTAGTTATACAACTTCATGAATGTATTTAAATGCCACAGAATTGTGCACTTAAAAGGTAAATTCCATGTTATGTATATTTTACCCCACACACACATACTCACAAAAAGTAGATGCAGAAATCTATTGGGAAGCTATTTTGATTATTCAGGCAGAAGATGATCCTGATTTAGACTTAGGAGCCTCAAAGTTTTAGTTCATGGACATCTATCAAAAATAAGTTTGTAAGGGCTAGGGTTGTGGCTCAGTGGTAGGGTGCTTACCTAGCATGCATGAGGCACTGGGTTCGATCCTCAGCACCACGTAAATGTAAAATAAAGATATTGTATCCACCTAAAACTTAAAAATAAATATTTTTTTTAAAAAAAGTTTGTGGGGCTGGGGAT